ACACTGCCGGCTCATGTTCAGCCGGCTGTCGACCAGCACCCCCAGGTCCTTTTCCGCCAGGCAGCTTTCCAGCCACTCTTCCCCAAGCCTGTAGCGCTGCATGGGGTTGTTGTGGCCAAAGTGCAGGACCCGGCACTTGGCCTTGTTGAACCTCATACAGTTGGCCTCGGCCCATTGATCCAGCCTGTCCAGGTCCCTCTGCAGAGCCTTCCTACCCTCGAGCAGATCAACACTGCCGCCCAACTTGGTGTCGTCTGCAAACTTACTGAGGGTGCACTCAATCCCCTCATCCAGATCATTGATAAAGATATTGAACAGAACTGGCCCCAGTACTGAGCCCTGGGGAACACCGCTCGTGACTGGCCACCAGCTGGATTGAACTCCATTCACCACAACTCTCTGGGCCCGGCCATCCAGCCAGTTTTTTACCCAGCGCAGAGTACACCTGTCTAAGCCGTGAGCCGCCAGCTTCTCGAGGAGAATGCTGTGGGAGACGGTGTCAAAGGCCTTACTGAAGTCCAGGTAGACCACATCCACAGCCTTTCCCTCATCCGCTAGAGAGTCAAGACTAAATATAGGTGGTGTAATTGGGGGAAAGGGAAAATATTATTAAGGTGATGACTATAGAATCATAAAGCCTTTATAGGTAGACACATGGAAGCAACAAAGTAGATGGGAAACTTCTGGCAACAGGAAAAAATAAGAACAATGGGTGAAGAAATGTCTGGTACCTTGCAGTCCATGGCACTTTTTTTATTTTAGTGACATTAAAAAAACCACCAACACAACACAAAAAAACCCAACCTCAAAACAAAAAAACAAACAGCAAAAATCTGTAAATGTAATAAACTTAATTGCTGTTACATTTTTTCCTTTGCCCATCTCTAAATTGAAGTTCTGAAGTAGAGCCTTTGACTACAATTCTACGGGAGTTTAACTGGGGATGTGTCATGCTGTAACATGAGTTCTGTAGAATCAGAATAGTTCAGGTTAGAAAGGATGTCAGTAGGCCATGTAGTCCAACCTCTTGCTAAAAACATGGTCAATTTTTAATTCAGACCAGGTTGCTCAGGGCTTTGTCCAGCAGGATTTTTAAAACCTCTAAGGTGAGAGTTTTTGCAATCTTCCTGGGCAATTTGTTCCTATTCGTAGTTGTCCCTACAGTGAATTTTCTTTTTTCCTCCTTATTTCATGTCAAACCTCCGCTGTTTCAGTTTGACAACTGAGATCTCCTTTCCTCTTGCCTTGCATCTCAGGAGAGAACCTGACTGTTTTCTTAATGACCTCCTCAGAGATACTGGAAAGCTGCTATGAGGTGCGTCCGAAGTTTCTTCTTCTCTAAACAAATCCTCAGCCTGTTCTCACAAGTCTTGTGCTACAGCCCTTTTCATGGGCCATCTTGGTGGATCTTTGCTGGGCTCACTCAAGTTTATTATTTTTCATGTACTGCTGGGCCCCAAATGGGTTGCAGTATTCCACGTGTGGGTTAATGAGTGCTGAGTAAAGGGAAACAATCATTTTCCTCAGCCTACTGGCTAAGCTTTTGGTGATCTGGTATAGTATGCTGTTAGGCTTCATTGTTGCGAGAGTGCTCTGCTCATTCATGTTTAGCTTGCTCTCCACCAGGACCTGCATATTCTTCTCTGTAGAGCTGCAGCCCTGCCAGTTGTTCTGTATTCTGTACCGGTGCCAGGGATTGTTCTGTCCAAAGTACAGGACTTTGCACTTGTTGTTGAATTTCATGAGATTCCTGCCAGTGAATTCTTCTGTCTCTCTGGTTGTTGGTCCTGTCCTCAAGTATACCAGTCATTCCCCCCAGATTTGGTGTCGTCCTCAAAACTGATAAGGGTACATTCTGTCTTCACCTCTTGTCACTGATAAGGAAAAATATTACACACAAGTCAGTCTCAGTACAGACCTCTGAGAGACTTTGCTTTTAATCAACTTCCAGTGTCACTAACCACTGAACTTCAACTTCTGAGCTCAGTGATCCAGCCAGTTTTTCATCCATCCACTGGTCTACCCATTTGGATTGTAATGACCCAGCTCTGATACCTACCGTGCTCTCCTTATTCACAGATTCTAATAATTTTATTGTAGAAGGCAGTTGGGCTCATTAGGCTTTTTTAAAAAAAAAAAACCCTTGGTAAAGGCTGGCTATTCCTAGTTCCTGGTTTTTCCTTCGTGTGTCTAGAAATGGCTTCCAGAAGAACTTGCTCTATGAATTTCTTGGCAACTGACCTGCCTGTTGTTCCTCAGGTCATCCTTCTTGCCCTTTTGAAAGCTAGGTGTGACATTTGTCTTTCTCCAGTTAGAGGGGACTTGCTCTAATCTCCATGGCCTTTCAAAGATGATAGAGAGTAGCCTTGGAAAAGTATCAGCTAGCTCTTTCAGGACCTCTGGATGCATCCTATCTAGTCCCAATTTTTTCTTTAGTGTGCAAAATATAGAATAATATTTCAAAATTCTCTCTTATTCACTCATTCTTTCTTAAAAACAGTAAAACCATTTAAAGGAGAATGGTTACAACTTTTTTGAGTAGCTAGGTGTTTAAGGCTCTTTAACATGAAACTTCTCTGAAACCTAGCGTCAAGAGTTTCTTCGTAATTGCTAGTGTGGAAACCTTAGTTGCAGTTCTCTGAATGTATCACATCTCCCTAAGTCAGGGCATTTGTGGTTGTCCTTGGCTCTGCATTCCCTTTCCCTCCCTTATGTAGGTACCAGTACTCACATGATCAGTTAGCAAGGTAAAGGTCCTGATGACTTCCCCTCCTCTTCCCTTTACCTCCAACCCTTGTTTCTTTTTCTTCTGATCAGCCCTCTGCACTAGCATACTTTACAGTTGCCTTGGCACCATTTAATGTTGCCCAAGAAATGGGGGTGAGAAGAAACAGGAGGGTGAGACTGAGACAGCCCAATTCTAAATTAGCTTGAATAGCTGTAGAATGTCACACTGCCTTCAATTTGAAGGCGTTTCACTTTTAAGATCCTCAAAACTAGCTCTTAGGTGGTTTTAGCGGATAGGAAGGGTGATATTATTCTGTTTCTAGATAACTAGTATTTTTGATATGCAAGGCTGTCAGTAAAGTTTATCAGGAAGTAATTAACAAGGCAGGCTTATTTTTGTGAATGCCTGCTCAACATTTGTCTTCTGAATTGTAGTTCTGTCATAGCACTGTCATATTACTGTCTTCCTTGAAAAGAGAGTTCTAGTAAAATTCAAATGTTAAATAGAATTAATTTTTTGTTGTACAGTTAATGGCAGAGTGGGGTTGAATTTCACTTTCTTCCTTAAATAATGTTGTAGTAGAGGGAAGTGCATTTGTTGTATCACTGATCCTACTCAACACCCACTTTACAAGCTTGTCACTTATGTTCTCCTTGCTTTAAAAACAAAAAGTGTAGTTGAACTCTGGTTATGTAACTGTATTTTTGATTCAGGTTTGGAGGTGGCAATTATGTGCCTGCTTTTAAATGCTTTGAGGAATACATAAATTAGCCTGTTTTCTTTACAGATAAAAAGATTGCATACTACTGATTTGTCTCTATCAATATGGAATCAACTGATGATTAGCATAAGAACTTACTGAGTAGTGTATTTTCTTCAATAAGCATCTCTGAGTTATTTTACTGAATATATCATCAGGACTTCTGTACCAGAGCTCAGTCAGAGCAGAACATTTAAGATGGGAGCATATGCATCTCCTGTTCCCCACTCTTCCTTTTGGAAGGGTTTACCAGTCGGATCTTCTGAGAATTTAGTTACACCAACTGTTTTCCAGGATAAGAATGTAGCTTTGTGTGAGATAAGCTGATTTTAGGTCATTCAGTTAGGTGCTGTAAGAAAACTTCGGTCTCCCTTACAGATTTTGTTTGTCCCTTTTGGACCTCTGTACAGAGTCTAGTTTATGTATTTTCTTTTGGAGCAGTATTTGGGTGACTTAAAATTTAAAAAGTGAAAGATATTATTAGACTTCTCACTTGTTGTGAATGAATTAAGCTTTCCAATGTCCAACCATTAAGATGGTTGAGACAAAATATGCTATCCTCTTTTCTGAGAAGTTGACAGAGGGAGCTTGCACATATGGGAGTGTAATTTCAGGGCTGCAGTCACCGCTTCTGATTATGGGAAATCTTTGATGTCTATTCTTAGAGATGCTAATAATACCAGATTTGAAACTTCCTGGAGGTCGAGGGTTGGAGGGGACCTGCTGTGTTGTGAATACCATTGCCTTGCTAATTCTGGTGCCACTTAAAATCTTTCCTAAATGGATTATATTTTATTTTAAAACTCCTTTTTTATAACATGTATTCTAATGAGAAGGCTGTCTAATTTCCAGCCTCACTTAAATAAGCTTTCTTTTAATATTAGCACTATCTTTTAGCTTAGTCTTCTCCCTCTCTGGCCCCATTCCTCTCCCCACTTCTTAAAGCTTAAGCTACTTAGGATCTTAATTGTAAAATTTAAGATGCTTGTAAGCAGAACTGATTCCCTCTTTTCCCTCCCAGCAGCAGGCATTCAGTACTTCCTCCTTAGCTTTTTGATAGTTTCTTTCTGGCATGTAACACCTATTGTTGCCAGGATCCTGAGGCTCTCAGGCAGAAATTGCAGCTCTTGCCAAATCACATTTTGTATGACTACTGCTATGTCCAAGATGCAATCTTGGCATGCAAGTGCTGTCTGATCTTCAAAAGCTATGTCCTAGAGGCCTGTTAATGTCATAAAGTATGTTCTGTAGGCATGCATCTGCCAGATATATAATTGAGTAATCTTGCCTGGGATAGCAACATAAGAAATTGCACTGTCTTTTGTCTTGATGTGGTGGACAGTTCTGTATTAAATATGTAAGCAACTCTATAGACAACAGAAATGAGTACAGCTTAATTATAAATTTTCTATGCCACTTTATTTGCCTTTTAAAATTCATTATTACAGTATGCTTGTTATTTTAATGTGATGATCTCTCTAAATGTGTTACTGATAATGTTCACTGAGCATTTAAAACCCAGAAACAACCTGAGTTGTTGAATTGACAAGTAATAGGTAGAAACTTTCCCTTCTTTTACCGTAAAGCTAACAGAAAATACATGGTGACTGCTGATTCATATTGGCACATGTGATGGGGTTCCTCTAAGATTTTTCTACTTTCAATTTTTCATCATGGTTTTTCTTGTGATAGATGAGATTTTGAATTCCTCCATTATTGTTTTGAGTATGGTGGAATTTTGTCCCCAAATTGTCCCCAAAGTTAGTCGCAGGACGGCCTTTAACATTGGAAAAGCTTTAGGGCATCTTTGTTACGTTGAAGGATTCTTAGTTATGTTAAAGGATTTGGTTCATGGGAAACATTGTCTTTATGATCTGTCTTGAAGGTGACTGTGAATGTGACCCTTTCAAATGAAAGCAGGGTGCTATGTCTTGTCACAGGAATGATTGGATGCAACACTGAGTGAAAGAGCTGGGTGCCATCAGGTGTCACATGTGAATGGGATGTAAAACTTGATAGCTCTGACTTTGTGTGGACTACTTAAATGTTTAGTTGCAGAGCAGCCTTGGCTCTTTGTGTCCTACTTTTTTTTCAGAGGCTTATGTTGGAAATTAGTGTTTTTGAAAGTGGGTGTGAGACTATTCTCTACATGAGTTGGCAGTTTTGTCATTTAATTAGTTTTTTGTTCATGCTGTCAAAACTAGACTAAATTCTGCCAAATGTTTTTGCTGAGCTTTTCTTTGATTTATATTCTTCTCTCTTTCTCATTGTGAAAGTGGAAGACTTAAGTTTGAAGGGTTTTTTTCTTTTTCTTTTCTTTTTTTAAGGTATATGTTGGTGAGCTTCCTCAAGATTTTCTTCGCATTACCCCAACCCAGCAGCAACAGCAAATCCAGCTGGATGCCCAGGCAGCTCAGCAGCTACAGTATGGAGGACCAATGGGTACAGTAGGAAGACTCAGCATTACTGTAGTACAGGTATAAATTGTACATCTTTGTACAATTAAGTAATTGTAAGTAATTAATTAATACAGTTAGTCTTTTTTGATCAGTGGCCACAAAAAGATTGTGTTGGAATTTGAGTTACTAAATTGCCTGTATATAGGGAATGAGTAATTTTTAAAGTTTTTGTAGCTTCATGTTTCTGTACATCAGCATTGTTTCCAGTTTCATAGCTGCATCGTGCAGCTATTTCCTATAAACTTTTGTCATGGTTTAACCTCAGTTGGCAACTAGTAATAATGTAGTGGTAGTAATAATGTAGTGGTAGTAATAATGTAGTGGTAGTAATAATGTAGTGGTAGTAATAATGTAGTGGTAGTAATAATGTAGTGGTAGTAATAATGTAGTGGTAGTAATAATGTAGTGGTAGTAATAATGTAGTGGTAGTAATAATGTAGTGGTAGTAATAATGTAGTGGTAGTAATAATGTAGTGGTAGTAATAATGTAGTGGTAGTAATAATGTAGTGGTAGTAATAATGTAGTGGTAGTAATAATGTAGTGGTAGTAATAATGTAGTGGTAGTAATAATGTAGTGGTAGTAATAATGTAGTGGTAGTAATAATGTAGTGGTAGTAATAATGTAGTGGTAGTAATAATGTAGTGGTAGTAATAATGTAGTGGTAGTAATAATGTAGTGGTAGTAATAATGTAGTGGTAGTAATAATGTAGTGGTAGTAATAATGTAGTGGTAGTAATAATGTAGTGGTAGTAATAATGTAGTGGTAGTAATAATGTAGTGGTAGTAATAATGTAGTGGTAGTAATAATGTAGTGGTAGTAATAATGTAGTGGTAGTAATAATGTAGTGGTAGTAATAATGTAGTGGTAGTAATAATGTAGTGGTAGTAATAATGTAGTGGTAGTAATAATGTAGTGGTAGTAATAATGTAGTGGTAGTAATAATGTAGTGGTAGTAATAATGTAGTGGTAGTAATAATGTAGTGGTAGTAATAATGTAGTGGTAGTAATAATGTAGTGGTAGTAATAATGTAGTGGTAGTAATAATGTAGTGGTAGTAATAATGTAGTGGTAGTAATAATGTAGTGGTAGTAATAATGTAGTGGTAGTAATAATGTAGTGGTAGTAATAATGTAGTGGTAGTAATAATGTAGTGGTAGTAATAATGTAGTGGTAGTAATAATGTAGTGGTAGTAATAATGTAGTGGTAGTAATAATGTAGTGGTAGTAATACACAAAGGAAGTGATACACAGTGCAATTGCTCACCACCCACTGACCAATGCCCAGCCAGTCCCCGAGCAGTGGCCCCCCCGGCCGGCTTTCCCCAGTTTATGTACTGAGCATGATGTCACGTGGTATGGAATGTCCCTTTGGCCAGTTTGGCTCTGCCCCACTCCCAGCTTCTTGTGCACCTGCAGCCTTCTCAGTTGGTAGAGCATGGAAAACTGAAAAGTCCTTGACTAGTGTAAGCATTACCTAGCAACAACTAAAACATGGGTGTGTTATCAACATTGTTCCCATCCTAAATCCAAAATGCAGCACTGTACCAGCTACTAGGAAGGAAATTAACTCTATCCCTGCCGAAACCAGGACAGCCTTGCTATTACAGCACAGTCAAATAAACTTTTTTTTTTTACAGTGAACAGGTTTCTCTGAAAACTTCTGTTAAGAAGACTTCCTGTAGAAACACTTAACATTGGAAGACATCAGCAATTCTGAGAATATTGTAGGGAACTACAGTTGCCTTATCTATTTTTCCTTAAGTGACTGCTCTGTTCCATCCCCATTTCCTCTAATGCATTTGCTGTTTTTCCTAGTGGTTTCTGCAGGCTTTCTTATTAATCACAAGTGCATAGTCCTAGCTCTTTATTTTCTGCTTCCTCTTTTCCCTTGTTATCCTTTCTTTTATCTCTTGGCAGTACTGTATTACTGCATTCATTATGCATAAGATTTCAGGTCTTAAAACTTGTCTATCTTTACACAATTCTGTTTATCTGCTTTAGCATACCATATGTCCTTCATATTAACACACCTCATCTATTTACAAGTGCTGTTTTCAAGTCATTCTCTAAAAACATACCGAAGAGAGATTTAGCCTCAGATTTAGCACCAAGCCTGGAATAGTACATGTATGGTTACTGCTTCCATGGTGAGGTCCTTACTGGGGAGTAAACCTATATAGGGTCTCTCAGGAAAAAAGACACTGATCCTTCCTTTCTATGTCTTTCACTGGTCAGTTTGCTCCTTCACAGCCGATATGCTTCTCTTTAAAACTGGGCATAATGCTTTTTCAAGTTTATTACTTCTAAGATCTAGTCACTTGAACTCATTCATTGCATTCAGTTGCATCCCTCTTTCTAGTTCTGAGGAGTGTCCCAATCTGTGTTCAGTGAGTGTAAGATCCAAAGCTGCTTCTGCAACTTTGAACAGCAGAAAAAATGTTACCACTTTTAGAGCATAATGGAAGAAGCTTTAGTATGACTTTTTTCCAGAGCTAGGAATAGATGATTCAGGTTAAACCTCAGACCTATAAGGAAACAAAACATTTATCAAACAACATGCCATGTCTGTCTTAATTCTCTAGCAGTGGCTAGCAACTTGCATGCTACTCCATAGGTTGTTCATCTTTGGCTATTTGCTTGGACAGCTTAAAGTGCTTTTTGTCAGAGGATGTTGATCCAATCAGTATAGATGGTGGAAGTTCCTGGAGCAGATAAGTGGGCAGACAGTACAGTGTTCAAGAAGGAGTTTTGCATCTCACTTTGAGTGGCTATGTACAGAAACATCGAGATTCCTGTTTGGATTGGTGAACTGATGGAGTTGATACTGGTCTTTATCAGGTTCGATCCTCGTTTATTTTTAGTTACTTGTGCAGACAAGAAAAAAATATCTTGCTTGAAGAATAAAACCTAATGGCTGTTCGTGATGCCATGTCTGTAAGTGACTACTTGTTCTAGAATCACAGGATAGTTGAGGTTAGAGGGGGTGTCTGGAGCTTATTTTGTCCAAACCTCATCTCACCCCTATCCCCCCCCAGGCCAGTCCCTTAATGGAGGATTAAAGAGGATGTTGTATACAAGGAACGGCTGAGAGAGCTGGGGAACAGTCTTGGGGGGAATCTTATCAATGAGTAGTCCCTGCCATCAGGTATTTATGAAGACGACAGCTAGGCTCTTTTCAGTGCTATCTAGAGGAAATACAAGAGGCACAGTGAGCACAAATTGAAATACAGCAAACTCTATTAAATATATGAAAAACCTTTTTACTGTAAGAGATGTCAAACATCACAACAGGTTTCCCAAACGGGTTGTGGAGCTTCCATCCATGGAGACACTCAGAACTTGCCGGAGTATTTGACCTTGCTTTGAGCAGGGAGCTTGGACTAGACAATCTCTAGAGGTCCCATCCAACCTGTGAAACCTTTCCCATCTGTGAAACCTTTAATTGTGTTAGTGGCTCTTTGCTGGACTCGTTCAAGTATGACCATGTCTTCTACTGGGCAGCCCAGAACTAAAGAGAACAGTACTCCAGATATGGTCTCCCCAGTGCTGAGAAGGGATCATCTTCCTTGACCTGCTAGCTGTGCTTTTCCTAATGCAGCCCAGGATGCTGTCTTCCTTGCTGCAAAGGTGCATTGCTGGCTTATTTTCAACTTGGTGTCCACCAAGACCCCCATGTCCTTCTTTGCAAAGCTGCTTTCCAACCAGTTGGCCCACAGCCTGTAGTGGTGCATGTGGTTATTCCTCCTCAGGGTCAGAATGTTGCATTTTCATTTGTTGAGCTTTGAGATTCCTGTCTGCGCACTTCTCCAGCCTGTCAAGGTCCCTCTGAATGGCAGTACAACCCTGTGCGTCCCAAGAGAGTCTTCTGTAGCTGTTTGAGAGTTTTTATGCAAGAATGCTGTGGGAATCTTGGCTGCGTGTTGAGGCATGTGGCATTCTGGATAGGAGACTTACCACGGCATAGTTAACCTGTAGAACATGAAGGTTGAAGTCTTCTGTATTTAAATATGTGTTGATAAAGTATATAGAGCAATATGCCTTAATTCCGTTACTAATAAACTGGTGGAAGATCAGAAAATTTTTTTGGGAAGGTAACTTACTGCTTTTTTTTCCCTTGCAGATATGTAGGAATGATGGTGAGTTTGTCTAAGCACAGTTGATTGTGTCCTCTTAAATTACTAGACAGACAATTTATATGCTGTTTTTTCTTTTAGTGAAGTTTTATGGTAAGCTGCTTAATCTCAGGACTTCAGAGTCTAGAGAGTGCATAATTTAGGTGCCAACTTTCCTACTTTAATTGTTAAGCCCACATTTACACTTTGAAAAGTATGATCTACTAGATTTTACCTCAATTGAAGTGCTTTTGCAGTTTGTGCTTTTGTATTGTGCGATATTCTTGAAGCTACTGGATTTCTGTATTTCATGCTTTAAAAGTACTTCAGTGGAAGAAAACAGGCTACCTATCACATTAAGTTTATGACTGTATGTTGGAGAGCAGATACCTAGGCAAAAATTGAACTTATTACTATTTCTTTGTAATCATGTATCTTTTGGTTTGGTATGAAGTACCTTATTTTAGGTATGGTGAAGATGTGTATTTTCTACAACAGACGCGTTAAAAAGAGGTTACCTTTTCAAGGTCTCCCAGGCATTAATGGTGTCACTGGCTGTTCTGTGTTTTAATCTGAATGCTGTTTTTCTTCCTTTTTTCCTTCCTGTCTACCTCATAATTGAATCTAGTCCTTTGTTCAATATCTGATTCTCTTTGTGAGCTAACAGTAATTAACTTCTCAAGTTAATGTAAATATTATACACTTAAAGGCTTTCTTTTCTTTCCAGGCAAAATTGGCAAAGAACTATGGAATGACTCGCATGGATCCCTATTGTCGAATACGGCTGGGGTATGCTGTGTATGAAACTCCAACAGCACATAATGGAGCCAAGAACCCCCGCTGGAACAAAGTTATTCAGTGCACTGTTCCCCCGGGCGTGGACTCTTTCTATCTAGAGATATTTGATGAGGTCAGAACTACTATCTATCTATCTATCTATCTATCTATCTATCTATCTATCTATCTTCGCTTTTATTTTCGTTTTAACTTCTTGTCTCCCCCCCCCCCCCCCCCCCCCCACCATCTCCTGTTTGGACTGAGGTTTTGTGGAATCTTGCAAAAAAGGATTGAGTTACCAAAGGCTGTTTCTTAGCTGTGCTCTCTGGGAGATGATGAAAATTTTTCAGGATCCCAAGAGGAGCAATGCATAAGGCTTCACTCTTCCCCAAGAATGTCAGAGCTGTTACTTTTTCTTCGGTAGCTGATAAGGGGCATTAGTAGGGTTCCCTGCAAAGGAAGAGAAGCAAAAATGACTGAGCAGTATTTAAGCTCCTCTTCGCTATCAAAATGCACTGCAGCCTTATATTCTGTACTGTCCCTATTAAAAATAGCTTGTTTATACAGTGCTGTTTTACTCAGAAATTCTTCAGTGTTATTGTAACCCAGGAGGAGCTTGGAAGCCTTCCCAAGCCTGGAAAAGCTGAGAATAAAACTGTCAAATATAGACTGTCTGTGGTCACTAGGATTTATTAGCAGAAACATAACTTAATCTATACTTGCCTGAATTTCATTTCAAGTGAGCATGTAGACACTTGTCTATGCTTTACTTAAGAAACAGTGGTAATAAGTGCCTAACCTCTGAACAATTTCATTTTCTTAGAGATTGAATGGGTCTGATTAACAGCTCTGGTAGGTAATCCGCTCTACAAAGCTTTTCTAGAAGAGTACTATCTTGAATTCTTTTATGTTGTTCTGCTAGACATTGTTATTGTTGGCAGCAGGGGATATGTGCCTGCATCTCAGCTGTTCCAATTCAGGATATCGACTTTGACTTAGCACAAACATACCTTCTTGAACAATTTAAACTAAGAGTCTACAACTGAGGCTGTGGTTTGCCTTTTTTTGCTGTGTCTCTTACTGTGTGTAGTAAAATTTGACACTGCACCAGCTGTGTGGTCATTACACAAGTGAGGCTTTTGGATGCTATTTTGTGGGCTTCGTTGATTGGTTGAAGTGTCTGTTTCGTTGCTGCAACAGAGGTGGCAGATCAGTGCTTGTATCTGCTCTTGAATTACTGGAGTTCACAGCCTGTGGTAGTAGTGTAAACAGAAGCTGTTCACATTCATTTAATGTGATTGATGTGACATCTGATATGATAGAGTCACACAGACTATGCTGATATTAATATGTTGTATTTCTAGAAGTGTTATGCTTCAGGTTTTCAATTTCTTGTTATTAAATATCTGAAATCAATCTATAATCCCACTTAAAGCATCATTCATCCTTGTTGGAAAGGAGATGGCTAAAATATTTACCGACACTTTAGTAATTTCAAAAGCAATAACTTAAAAATAAAATTGGCAAAATGAAATAGCATAAAACTGAAGGAAGTGTTAGTCAAGAATAATTTTAAGATTTTTTTTTTTTTCAGGACAATTAACTTGATAATATTTCTTTAATTATATTCCAGCGGGCCTTTTCAATGGATGACCGCATCGCTTGGACACACATTACAATTCCTGAGTCTCTGAAGCAAGGAAATGTGGAGGATGAATGGTATAGCCTGAGCGGAAGGCAGGGTGATGACAAGGAAGGAATGATTAATCTGGTTATGTCGTACACGGTAAGCCAAGTTTGGGGTGGTAAGAGGAAGGGAGAGAAGCTTCTTGGGTAGCGGGAGGGAGATGTTTTAGTTTGAGGTAGAAATAGTTCCATTGTACCTTACTGGGTGTTTGTGTGTGTTAGCATTTAAAATAATTATACTTCACTTTGGGGATAGCAGTCAAAAATATTAGTTAAGGCAGTAAATACTTTTTGGTGAGGTGGTAAGTGGGTATTTATTTATCTGGTTTTGAAGCTGAATTACAAAAATTCAGCTTATTCCTGTGCTAATAGAAATATAAAAAAGAAATCCTCAGTCAAATTGTCCACTGTCACTTCTAATTTAATAATAATAATGATTTTTTTAAAGCTTCATGGAATATGACAATAACTTATTCTCTCCCCCCCCCCCCCCCCAATCTTTAGAAAGTCATGTCAATTTAAAAGCAAAAATAGTGGAAACTCCTCTCTGTGTTAGGTCTTTCTGGATAGTTTGAATGCTCTTTCTGACGACTTTGTTTTTTACTTCCATTCTTGTTCATTTGGTGCTCCTAATCATAAACTGCTGACGTACACTGGTCCATTTAGCAGCTCATGGACTATTCTGTCACCTGTCACTTTTGTTTTAAGTAGCTGTTGGATAGCATGTGTAGCATGTGCAGGCCTGAATGCTTCCTACTACGCTTGTACATGATCAGAAGTTCCAAGTTGCTTTTGAGTGCACAGCTGGGAAGAAGTGTTCCCTGCTGTTTGAAATTCACATTCTGCCCCACATCTGAAGAGTTGTTCTATTACCCCTAGGAGAAATGAGTTTGTAATTAACCTTTAAAACTGTCTGCCCATGAATGTACTGTACATAGAACCTGACCTTTTAATATTTTCCAGGATCAAACTGAACAGAAATTGTGGTAGTAAAAGGGGATGGAGTTAAATTAATATTTTGTTTAAAGTACTGGTTTACCTCAAAAATGACTTGAACTAAAATTTGCTTCTAGGAGCAGTATACTGCTTTTAATAAAATTCAGGTTTGCTCTAAGTTTTCATTTACGATGAATCTTGTGAAATGAATATACAACATAATATGGCATAAAAGCTGATTAAACCCATATTTTAAAATAAATCACTTCAGTAACAAAATTTCAGTGGCAAAATTTGTCAAACTGTTGCAAAAGGCTAGTTTGACGTGATGTGTTTATATTGATATACAGGCAAATTAATTGTCATTTAAAAGGATGGTAGTTCAGTTAATTTGCCAGAGATTTTGCTTAATACGGATTAGCACTTAGTCATATTGTAATATGGAACATGGATTTGCAATTTGATGATTTTTTTGCAAATACTGTTTTAATTGTTTTAATTGCTCGTTTAGGTTTTTTTCTATTTCTTGAGTAGTTCTAATCTGTCTATTGTGCTTTTTGTGTCAAGTCTTTGCCAGCTGCCATGATGATGCAGCCCCAGCCAGTGGTCCTGATGCCCACTGTATATCAGCAAGGAGTTGGATATGTGCCTATAGCAGGTATGTTTTCTTTCCTTGAAGACTCTTAACACTTCCAGATGAAGGGTTTTGCAGAAACAACTACCAAATTTCTCCTGTTTTTTGGAATATAAAGGAAGCTATAAATGATTTTGGCTGTGATCACTTTTCCCATGATACATTTTTGGGAGGAGAGGAGTGAGCAAATTAAGTGTAGGTCTGCTTTCAGTCTTGTACCCTGTTTAAGGGAGCTGCATGAGTTTGATTAAATGGGTTAAAATCACTATCAAGTTGGAACAAGTAGCCTGAAGGCTTCTTTTTTTGAGTATTTATTTTAGACTTATATCAGGTCACTGAATAACTAAATATCTAGTAGGCTGCACTCTAATATAATGCATGCTTATTTAAATGGTGGCAATCCATGTGTGAAACTGTTCAGACTTCAGAAAGTGCACCAAATGACTTGTGCTGTCAGAACTGCAGCTTAAATAGCCCGTAAAGGAATTGACTCTTCTGTGGTCTTTGAAGATGCTTTGTTGGAAACTTGGTACACAGCATATGAAGTGTGTAGCACAGTGAATGAAAAATGTTAGAGAGCTCTGAGATAGTTAGGTAAATACATCAAGAAGAGCTAAAGCAGGTATTGTCAGTTCTCTTAGTTTGTGCCAAGTAAGTTTTGGACTTTTTGTAGAAAGATGTGTTAACTTAGGTTTTGTAATTTTTCTATCAAAGATGAAAAGTTTCAAGGTTATTTACATACTTTAATTTGCCCTACTTAAATAACTGATAAGTAAAGTTCAGTTGGTTGTTTTTTTGTGTGTGTGTTTCACTTACAGCTCTTCAAAGCTCAAGTTTGTGGTATGGACACTTATTCAGTAATATGTGTAATTTTTAGGGAAAATAAGATATAAATTTAGATACTTTGAATTTCTTTGCATACAAGTGTATGAACGAGTGAAAGTGTGTGGGGCATAATTGCAGTGCTAAGGGCTGACACAACAGATATGTTTTATTTTATTTTAAAATTGACTTTAAAATTTTGTTCTCTGTAACAACAAACCTCCTCAACAGAAGACTGCATATGTAACTTAAAGAATCATACCTCTTGTTTCATTTTTATAGAGTTAAAGCAAAACATGGAAAAGTTTGGTTACATACTTTATTCCCTGATGAAAACATGCAGTTTGCTTCACTTAAAGTGCTTTTATCTCAGTAGCTTAATGCTCAGGATTTAAGTCTTGCTTGCTTTGCCCACAAACTAGTTTCAACTTGTGTGTGCATCCTGAAGTGTGATTCCATTGTGGTAAGCCAGACTTCGGTGTAGCTTTCCTGTGTTTGTGAATTAGATGTTGTATTGTTTTTGCTTGTAGGTTCATCGTGTCCCTATATATTGAAGCAGTTAGTGAACTTCAACATAGTTATCTTGTGTATGGTTAAAAGAACAACAATAGCTGGGTGGTACATATAGCAATGTAATAGAAGGTGCTATAGAACTTCTTTTTGTATTGCAAAATTACTCTGCCAGTCAGAGTACAAGCAGTAGAAATGAAGAGACTAGTTTCAGGTATAATTGAAACTAGACATAGAACTGAACAGATAAAACTGATACTAGACCTTCAAAGTTGAAAAACAAGTACAGTGGTGTATCTTGATGTTCAGATCTTGGTGTTCTGTAAACTTTGAATTAATCTTGAGAATATTTTTAGTAATACTTATTAAATCTACTTGGACAAGTGAAGAAATAACTAATATTTAGCAAGTGATAGTAATGCCTGGCACTTTAGCATATAAGAATTTGGCTTTATGTAACAATTTTATTGATCTGTATGTTGGAGCATTGCCCTTCTGCAGAGATTCAGCATGTTTGTTTTAATTACTGCTATGATAATCTTCTGTATTAAAAATTCTTCCTGATTCTATGACTTGTATATTTAAAGCATTGCAAATTCCCACCCCTTGATTTGAACTTTTCTTTTGTTCTTGGAAAGCTTGAATATACTTCCTTGACTTTATAAATGCCAAACTTATTACAAGCCACCTTTTGATGTATTTAGATTTTTAATATTTTTTATTTTTTTGATATTACTGTGCTTTGTGTTTGCTGTTCTAGAATTTCTGTGTGCACCATCAAAATTTCTCAAAGCATTGTGAGTTTTAAAGCTTTTGCCTATTCACTAATCAATTACCCACTCATAATAATTAGATGGATGGTTAGGTTTGGACTTTGAAAGTGACTTGACTTCAGAATACTTTTACTGTTTCATACATTTAATTGCATGGCTTAATAAAAGTAATTTCAAATTATAAAGGAACCAGTAGTGCATCTTGGAAGGCATGGAGTATTGTCAGAATGTTTTCTATATACTGAGCTAGATGCTCCTCCTGGATTCTGTAAACTCTTTCAGAAAGATGCATGCAAACTACTGGCCTTCCCTGCCCAGTTTAATTGGTTGTACCTTCTGGGGAATCTCTGTTGGTACACTTTCTTTGGAACACTGTACAGGGTTTTTTCTGTCTTTGAGACTGCTTCAAGAAGGGCAATGGTAGGACATCAGTAGGCTCCACAGGAATGTTTATCTTCTTCCCATTTTAGTTCAGTTTTTTTTACCTATCAGGTTAAATGAGTGTAGTCAATAAGCAAGTTCTATTTGTTTCCTTCAGAAGAGTGAAAGAGCAGCACTGAATAGTTTATTAAATCTGAAATGGAGGAGATTCTGCTGTTGGGCAGGACTGTTAGATTCTAAGTCTTCTCTATGATGGAAATACAATGGGTGCACTAAAATGTTTATCCAGACAATTTAACAGTTGACTGTCCAAAATAATTGTGCCTTAAAGAGAGATGATGTTAAGTCAAACTTAGCTGTCACGAAGGCCAAGCTGTTTTTTCTGTAACAGAAAACTTCTGTTCAAAACTTAGTATACATAACTAACCTTCTAATTAAGGTCGAAGCAACTAATTCCTCTCTCACGTATATCTATCATACAAACTGAGGTAAATAGTAGTAGCAAGCAGTTAGTCACTGTGGTAAGCAGATGAAGCTTGAAATGCCAACGTAAGTAATGCTTTTTCCCCCATGTTTGATGGTACATGTTACAGAACTGTGATGAAAGCAGAAATGGCCATAGAATATTCTTGCACCATGTTAATTGATTTCAAAAGTTTTAAAAATTAAAAAATTGCTGACAATAGCACTAGTGACTACAAACTATAGTTGCCATAGATGATATCTATGGATTGGGTTTGGGAAAATTTGACTTTGTCAGTCCTGTTGTTCTTCTAAAAGTTGAGTTTATCTACTGTTTCTTCCCATTTCTTTTTCTAAAGATTACTTAATTTAGGCTGTAGAATATTGTGGTATACTGGTTGCTTACAGTCCAAGCTGATCTTCTTGATATTGTATCAAAGACAGTAAGCTAAAAAAAGTTAGTTCAATGAAGCAAGCTATATTTCTTATCAGCTAAGTATTCATGGGATAAATAGGAAATCTGTTTGTACTTAACTTATAAACACCTGTGTAAAAAGTAGGTTAAAAACCCAGGTGTTTCAGGTCTCTGACAGAGTCCAGAATATAATTTTTCATTGAGGCAAAGTTATGTGTATATGTACATAACTCCTTTAGGTCTCTGTATTGAGTTTCATAAGTTAGCTTGTGATGTTATTGGTATTTGTTCAGAAAACCATGGATGTATGTTGTCCTTTGTGGCTATAAAATATAATCCTTGCTGCAAACACCTGGTGGCTTACTTATTTTGAAAACATTTCCTCTAATTGTTACTTCTGTGAAAACAGCACACTTAGGAAACTTGTTCAGAGTGCTGAAGCAAATTAGGTGGGAGACTGAATCCTAGCAGCATTTAGGTTTTGATATTAGGTAGTTTAGTTTTTACCCAGTTGCCTCAGTTTATGCAACTTCCACCTTCAGAAGCTAAATGGTTCATTTCCTTTTAAAAATAGATTAATATTTCTTTCCCATGTCTTATTCCTTTCCCCTTGCCCCTTCATTTTCACCTGTCTTTAGGGCTTGAGTACTTTGCTCTGGGTAAGTTTCCAAGCTCTTTTCTCAGTCCCATCCTCATTGACTCAAGAGTCTTTGCATGAACTCATCTAAACATTTGCTTTATTTGTTACAGCAGACTGTGTCACAAGGTATTGCCACTTGGATGTCACAATAGAACAATTTAATGCATCTCCTGGAAATTGTTAAAGCCCCTTTAACCTGTTGGAAAGTCTTTGAAGGCATCTGCTCAGCTTCAGGCTATAATGATTAAAGTAACTGGTGATAGTGGTGTTGATGGCTAAAATGCAATGTTAATATTCTTCTGAAATGGTTGTATGTCAGTGAGCTATTCTCGGTGATCATACTGGTTTCCTAGAAGAGAAACTTAAATCTTGGCAGTTGTTCTGCTACTGCAAGATTTGGGGAGAAGCAGGAGATGTCATGACTTTTTGTAAACTTGAAAGCGAAGAACTCAGTTCTGCAATGATGTTGAGAAGACAGCCTGCCAGTTGCCTTCTGTTAATCTTCAAATAAGCCTTTTTTCAGAAAGATACACACTGACAAAAAAAGTGTTATTCTTTCATGCACATCTGTTTTAGATCCATGTCAAGTTGAGCATCTGACTTGAACTCTAAAGGCAAATTATGTTACAGGAAATCAATTTTCCTTCAATTTAGACTCACTTCATTATGACACCTTTGATTTTGAATTGTGCAAAGATACTGTGACATCCTTAACTTTGATAAAAGCATTGGTCTTCAAGTATGTTCAGAAAATTCTAGAATTCTGAAATAATGTCATTTCTTGATGCTCTGAATTTCAGAAAGATGCTGTAAATAAAACTGATGTGGTTGTCGCAGTGTATTTGGTTTATTCAGAGCAGTGGAATTGTAGAATTTTTCTGTGGGTCCATCCATACACTTCACTTTTCTAGTAGTTTACAAAGAAGCAACACTTTAAAAAAATTGAGATGATAGCGTGCATATTTTAGCACTGAATTTTTTTCTGAAGCAAGAATCACTAAGACCTATTTGTATATTTTAAAAAAGGTGATACTGATTTCTTCCTTTAAACGAAAGAATACTGAGAAGGTTCCCGAGTTTAGTCTGAAAGGGTCTATGTGTGGGACAGAATAATAATGAGTTGAGACATTAAATATAGGGCACTTGACTAAACAAGAAAAAATAAAAAGTGTGTAATGCCTTGTGTGCAGTTAGAAAAAGTTTACCCTGTTAATGCTGCTTTGATGCTTCCATTGCTGCTTGTAGCAACTGACTTGCTATTGTACAAACTCATTTCATGTATTGGAATGTCACTGCTTATGCCAGCATGTTTGTCATTGCCATTTCACTGAATTGGAAAACAGTGCTCCATTATTCTGATTTATAACACCTAATATCTGAGAGCAACACAGGAGTGTGGAATTCCATTTATAGGGGATTCTTATGTGGTTTAGTTTCAGTTTTCACCTGTTAGTGAAATGAGGTGCTTAATATGTAAAGCAGCTTTGTACTGAACATTGATAACTTTGAAGTTTATTATAACTTTTTCTAATGACTGCATATATATATGTATATTTGCTAAATTTTAGTGCATATTTCTTTAGTTGAGGCATGAGTCTTGCTTACTATTTTGTAAATCAGAAATTATGGATGCTTTTAGTCTGAGTGTGGAACAAAGCAAAAAAACCAAGGTACTCTCTAAATTGGTACTTGTATAGCTTGAATGTTGGGTTTCGTGAAAAGTAAGCATTTATCATGGAAACATTTATTAAAAATCACTGTGATACTAACTTCCATTTGTATACAGTGTAGTAGTAGATAGCATAAACTAATTCTAGAACTGTAATAGCTAAGAAAATGGATTTTGAAAATCATTAGTGAAAAACAATACTATCAAGAAATTTCTTGTCTCTAAAATTGAATATTTAGATTGAAAATACTTCTTGAATACTGCCTGTGCAGATGTCTGGCTTCATAATTGTCTTGTTTTGATGAAAGCAGTAAGAAAAACTGTGTGCTGGTCTTGATTTTTTTTTTTTTTGTTTGTTTTTTTAACACTGACAAGACACTGAAACTTTATTGGTAAGCTGTAGGATGCTGTGGTACTCAGTGAGCCTCATGTTTCATTTGGATTAATATTTTAAACTGACTTCTTGTATGGACAGTTCCTACACAACTTAGGCTGATAGTTGAATAATTCATCTTAGGGTGCTGATGACTTACTGAAGAGTATTAGGAAGCCTGTGTCAGAAGTAAAACATAACTTCTGTTACTCTGTTCTTTCAGGTACTTTACAACTTTATTTTTTTTTGAGGCCATAAATCATATGTTCACCTCTTGTAAATGCCTAGGTTGTTTGTAGGAAGCGTGAGGGATGAGTTGAGGCTTGTTGAAGCTCTAGAAGAGGCAATCTGAAATGCTGCTGGATATTATTATTGGGTAAAGCGTATTTGCAGTATTGGTGAGGACTGCATAGTGGTTTGCCTCCAGGGTGCACACATGGTCTGACTTCCAGATGTTCAAACACACAGTGCCAGACAGAATTCCAGGGACCATGGTCCAAATGGCATAAGCAGCTCTAGAGCTAAAGTTTAGGTTGTTGCAGAAGAGGCTATAGATAACCCTGGTAGTGGTGTGATGCAAATGGCTGGGCAGAGACATGGTTCCACTGTGTAGGTAATAAATTTATGGTGAGAAGGACATTTCTTTAGTTGCCAGAATTAACCTTTCTGAATAGACGCAGCCTGTACATTAGACTTAAATTATCTAGGTTCCTTTTTTGCTTCTAATAAAACTTAAGATGTAGATTACAAGGGGAATTTTAAGATCAAAATTAGAGAACTTTGATAAGATGGAGGTGCTTACAATTCAGTAATGCATCCTTTCAGATAGGACAGAAGACCAAGTTGAGGAAAGAAATAGCAAAGAGTACATTAGGTAAAATCTTGGTTGCAATGCACACAGTCAAACTGTATTCAATTACAGTACCTTGTCAACCAGAGTTGATGTAAGTTAAGATGGGTTTAGCTGATCTAACCTTGAATGTGAATTTTAATATAGCACTTTTAAAGCTAATAGAAAAATGATAATCACTGAGATGCTAAAATATTTGTGCAAGTTAGAGTGAGCATAGACATTGCTGATTAAATAGTTACAGGTTAAAGAAAATCTTGGAAGAGACAAGGTAAGTATTGAAATTGCTCTTTGCTCTCAAGTTTTTTGGTGTTTTTTTGGTTTTTTTTTGGAGGTGTTAAGTTTGAATAGAAGTAGTATAATATAGTTGCAATACGTTTGATCACTTAAGTAGTACTTTAGTCATGCTAAGAGGGATGAGGCTGCAAAGAGGCACACTTGAAAATTATGTCGGTTGTAGATCTGCTTTATTTTATTATGCTTTTGAGCAGTTAGTCAGAATTCAATAGAAGAGAAGCAGCTTTTGATCTACTCCTGAGTAATCTATGAAACCAGATTCAAAAAGTACCTTATTTTGAAGATGTATAGTAGTGGTGATGCAAATAGTTCATCTTTTGTTTAACTTAAGGAGAAGTAATTAAGGTCAGAGAAAGAAAGCTAAACGGGTGAACTAAAAACTATGTAAAAAAAGTTGTTAGCTGCTCAGAGTAAATGCATGCCAAATTTAAAACAAAAAAAAGCACTCTTGGAGAATCCTAAAAAGTCTCTGCAGTAGAACAGTAAAGTAGTTTTCTGCCAAAAATTGGTAGGTCTGCCTAAATGAGGGGATGCGAGAGAGTTAAATTATATATTAAAACTAAACTGGTAATAAGGTTGGCTGGCAAAGCCTTTGAAGATCAAATGTGTGAATAGTTCTCAACTCCTTATTTTAAAGAAGCAGAGAACCTAAAATCATTTAGGTAATTAAGTGACTATAAAGATAGAAGTATATAAGGGAGTACAAAAAAACCCAGTTGGAATGTGAGATCATAACGGGGGAAGGAAGAGAATGTTTGGTTTTGTCCTTCTTAGGAAGGAATGCTTTTTTTATGGAGAAGGGGCCTCAGATTATAATTTTAGAGTTTAATTAAGATGATCAGTAAGAAAATGCAGGTAAGGTAACATTTATTCACAGTCTTTTATTTTGGATTTTTTTACCAAATGCAGTATATAACATATTGCTTAATTAGTCTTGCTTTCAGATGACTGGAGGATAGCAAACTGAATTTTTTTTTTTAAAACAGCTCTGAAGTAACTGTTTTCCCTATTGCATAAACTGATTAAAACCTATGGAGATTAGAATGAGGTGATTTAAAACAAACAACTAACTAGGTAAACTTTAGGGAGGTGT